ATGGGAAACTTGATCACTGTAATGAATTCCTGCTTCTTCCAGTCGTGCTAATCAATGAGACGGGGACTTCACAGGGTTGCCTAGTCATCGGTTACCATCCCCGGTTGCCACAGTAACGGGAGGTAATGACACATTTGGCCGAGCTGATGTTTATTTTTACTGATCTCCCAGCATGACTGACTCTATTTTTACAGTGGAGACGCATAGATGCCAAGGAAGAACAAAGTCACCATGGTGATGAGGTGATAAGCTCGCTGTCTTACACGGAAGAAAAAGACAGAAAACCAAGAATGAAAATCAAAGAAGAAGAAAAGATAGAATCCCTCTATCCCTGCACAAGATTCAACACACCCATCTACTGTATTTACTCCTCTGATACTTCACATTTTATATCTTGTATTTCTGTTTGCCTGCCTTCAAGTCATCGACTGTATGTTTATCTTTAAGCACAGATGTCAAATGCTCAGCTCAGGATGCCATAATTAAAGACAATTCTCTCGCATCAGTAGAAAAAACAAAATAGAAAATGAGATGATTTGCTAAAGCAGTAATATGATACCCTGAATCATGATTTTATTAATAGTTTTTGGGATTTAAAGGGACTTAAAGGGCAGATGCATAAACTGTACATAAAAGATGGCAATAACTGGTTGCTCTTAAAAGTAAAGCCATTAACCTTAAACCCTCATGCTTTGTAATGGCGTCCAGGGGGTGATTCCCCTGGTTGATGAAAACATGGGAAGTAATGAAGTACAAATACTTTGTTACTGTATCCCAAAAGGCTGATTCTCTCAGCTGACTGCAGGTTTCTCCAACCTTATAAACAGTCTTTGATCAGTAGTTGTTGATCAATAGTCAATGCAATTTGCATATTAATACAATTATAAATGAATTTGCACAAAGAGCAGCAGGTCAGCTGATCACAGCCTGTACACTAAGAAAATCTTCCCCCACCTACTGAATCCACTTTGACCCCTGACTGTGCACATGTTCCTGTTTAGAGGAAAAGTCGCCCTCTACAATGTAGCAACAGAAAACAGATTTATGTTTTTTATTTTGCACAAAAATAGAAACGTCCTCCAAAGAGCTACTCTTACTTTCTTACTTTGAGTACATTTTAGAGTCTGTACTTTTTTAATTTTACTTGAGTAAAGAAGTTGAAACAGTACTTCATCTTTTAGCTGAGTATTTGTACTTCTACTTAAGTACAGAAAGTCTGTACTTTTTCCCAGTCTGGTTTGGTTTGCTTGGATTTCACTTGGATTGTTCTCTGTGTGAAAACAAACCGAACCACAGGCACAGTTTACAAACCGATCTGGAGCAAAGTAATCAAACTACAGGTGTGAAAACGCCCTAAGACATCCATCATACGGGTCATCTGTGGATGCTAGCTGACCCCATGCAAACTAGTTATCCTGCACATGAAGGGTGAATAAGAACACTCTCTACAAATATTGTCAGTCAGGAAAGTAAAGTTCAGAGGCTGTTTCAGGTGTTTCAGGTGTTTCAGCTGTTTCAGGCGTTTCAGGCGTTTCAGCTGTTTCAGCTGTTTCAGGCATTTCAGCTGTTTCAGGCGTTTCAGCTGTTTCAGG